TGTGTTCACTGGAGCAATAGTTTCTGAGCGGACACAGGCTGGCATACATAAAGCCCCATCATCACAACAGCCGGGCATCGGGCCAGACATCTGGCACTAAAGCCCCCTCATACCTACTGCCACACACACACACACACACACACACACACACACACACACAAACTCTAAACCCACTCAACCCTCAACACATGACCTGCCATGATAGCTTAATGCAAACTGGCATTTTGTGGAAAAACAGCATCAAAGCATTATGAAATCTGAGTAATAAGACTAATGTGAATTTGCAAGGATCCCACAAACAGATAAAAATAGTAACATATTACTTGAATTATACTAATAATAGAGAAGCATTAAAAAAACTAGATCTACTCACTCAAATAAATATCAATTTGTGATGCTTCTTAGCTGCAATCTACTCCAACACAATCTACTCCATGGTTTCTGTCATCTGATTGATGCTTTTTACGTTTTTTAGACATAAATAAGCATAAGTATATGTACATAAACATATGGTCAACAATACTTCCAGATGAACACTTACTGCACTGAAGCATCTTAGGTCTACTTGATTATCCATACACAATTGTTTTTTTTTTTTTTAGAAAAATCATGTTAAAATGTGGTTATTGCAGTTTTTTTTCAATCGCTAACAAGCCCTCACACATAATTCAGATACTTTTTCTACACTCTTAACACAGACTTACACCTACAGAACACAATTGATCAAAGGGATAATTTTCTTCTCAAAAACACATTTTGTTAAATAAATTTGACTCAAAATGAAATTATTCTGTCAAAGATTAACACTTGTTTTCACTTCACAAGGTACATGCAGTCAATCAAAGTACACCAGGGTTCAAAATACTGGCTATTGTTGACATTACAAAAACTACATAGACTTTGATGTTTCAGTTTTACAGGTATTTGCATGAAAAACATGCAATCCACCGTTTTTACACTAAATTTCTTGGTTGGGAACTGTATGTCCACATGCACAGTAATGTTCACATTCATAGGCATTCCAGTAAAAAGCAAATCAGTTTTTTTTTCACCTCTCACTGCTCCTGCATCTCTCTCTGCATCTCTCACTGCTCCTGCACCTCTCACTGCATCTCTCACTGCTCCTGCATCTCTCACTGAATCTCTCATTGTTCCTGCACCTCTCACTGCATCTCTCACTGCTCCTGCACCTCTCACTGAATCTCTCATTGTTCCTGCACCTCTCACTGCATCTCTCACTGCTCCTGCATCTCTTACTGAATCTCTCACTGATCCTGCATCTCTCTCTGCATCTCTCACTGCTCCTGCACCTCTCACTGCATCTCTCACTGCTCCTGCACCTCTCACTGCATCTCTCACTGCTCCTGCACCTCTCACTGCATCTCTCACTGCTCCTGCACCTCTCACTGCATCTCTCACTGCTCCTGCATCTCTCTCTGCATCTCTCACTGCTCCTGCACCTCTCACTGCATCTCTCACTGCTCCTGCACCTCTCACTGCATCTCTCACTGCTCCTGCATCTCTCACTGAATCTCTCATTGTTCCTGCACCTCTCTCTGCATCTCTCACTGCTCCTGCACCTCTCACTGCATCTCTCACTGCTCCTGCACCTCTCACTGCATCTCTCACTGCTCCTGCATCTCTCACTGAATCTCTCATTGTTCCTGCACCTCTCACTGCATCTCTCACTGCTCCTGCATCTCTTACTGAATCTCTCACTGATCCTGCATCTCTCACTGCATCTCTCACTGCTCCTGCATCTCTCACTGCTCCTGAATCTCTCACTGCATCTCTCACTGCTCCTGCACCTCTCACTGCATCTCTCACTGCTCCTGCACCTCTCACTGCATCTCTAACTGAATCTCTCACTGCTCCTGCATCTCTCACTGCATCTCTCACTGCTCCTGCACCTCTCACTGCTCCTGCATCTCTCACTGCTCCTACACCTCTCACTGAATCTCTCATTGTTCCTGCATCTCTCACTGCTCCTGCATCTCTCACTGAATCTCTCACTGCTCCTGCACCTCTCACTGCTCCTGCACCTCTCACTGCATCTCTCACTGCTCCTGCATCTCTCACTGCTCCTGAATCTCTCACTGCATCTCTCACTGCTCCTGCACCTCTCACTGCTCCTGCATCTCTCACTGCATCTCTCACTGCTCCTGCATCTCTCACTGCATCTCTCACTGCTCCTGCACCTCTCACTACATCTCTCACTGCTCCTGCACCTCTCAATGCATCTCTCACTGGGCCTGCACCTCTCAGTGAATCTCTCATTGCTCCTGCACCTCTCACTGAATCTCTCACTGGGCCTGTACCTCTCACTGCATCTCTCATTGCTCCTGCAACTCTCACTGCTCCTGCACCTCTCACTGCATCTCTCACTGGGCCTGCACCTCTCACTGCATCTCTCACTGCTCCTGCAACTCTCACTGCATCTTTCACTGCTCCTGCACCTTTCACTGAATCTCTCACTGCATCTCTCACTAGGCCTGCACCTCTCACTGCATCTCTCACTGAGCCTGCACCTCTAACTACATCTCTCACTGCATCTCTCACTGCTCCTGCACCTCTCTCTGCATCTCTCACTGCTCCTGCACCTCTCACTGCATCTCTCACTGCTCCTGCATCTCTCACTGAATCTCTCATTGTTCCTGCACCTCTCACTGCATCTCTCACTGCTCCTGCACCTCTCACTGAATCTCTCATTGTTCCTGCACCTCTCACTGCATCTCTCACTGCTCCTGCATCTCTTACTGAATCTCTCACTGATCCTGCATCTCTCTCTGCATCTCTCACTGCTCCTGCACCTCTCACTGCATCTCTCACTGCTCCTGCACCTCTCACTGCATCTCTCACTGCTCCTGCACCTCTCACTGCATCTCTCACTGCTCCTGCATCTCTCTCTGCATCTCTCACTGCTCCTGCACCTCTCACTGCATCTCTCACTGCTCCTGCACCTCTCACTGCATCTCTCACTGCTCCTGCATCTCTCACTGAATCTCTCATTGTTCCTGCACCTCTCTCTGCATCTCTCACTGCTCCTGCACCTCTCACTGCATCTCTCACTGCTCCTGCACCTCTCACTGCATCTCTCACTGCTCCTGCATCTCTCACTGAATCTCTCATTTTTCCTGCACCTCTCACTGCATCTCTCACTGCTCCTGCATCTCTTACTGAATCTCTCACTGATCCTGCATCTCTCACTGCATCTCTCACTGCTCCTGCATCTCTCACTGCTCCTGAATCTCTCACTGCATCTCTCACTGCTCCTGCACCTCTCACTGCATCTCTCACTGCTCCTGCACCTCTCACTGCATCTCTAACTGAATCTCTCACTGCTCCTGCATCTCTCACTGCATCTCTCACTGCTCCTGCACCTCTCACTGCTCCTGCATCTCTCACTGCTCCTACACCTCTCACTGAATCTCTCATTGTTCCTGCATCTCTCACTGCTCCTGCATCTCTCACTGAATCTCTCACTGCTCCTGCACCTCTCACTGCTCCTGCACCTCTCACTGCATCTCTCACTGCTCCTGCATCTCTCACTGCTCCTGAATCTCTCACTGCATCTCTCACTGCTCCTGCACCTCTCACTGCTCCTGCATCTCTCACTGCATCTCTCACTGCTCCTGCATCTCTCACTGCATCTCTCACTGCTCCTGCACCTCTCACTACATCTCTCACTGCTCCTGCACCTCTCAATGCATCTCTCACTGGGCCTGCACCTCTCAGTGAATCTCTCATTGCTCCTGCACCTCTCACTGAATCTCTCACTGGGCCTGTACCTCTCACTGCATCTCTCATTGCTCCTGCAACTCTCACTGCTCCTGCACCTCTCACTGCATCTCTCACTGGGCCTGCACCTCTCACTGCATCTCTCACTGCTCCTGCAACTCTCACTGCATCTTTCACTGCTCCTGCACCTTTCACTGAATCTCTCACTGCATCTCTCACTAGGCCTGCACCTCTCACTGCATCTCTCACTGAGCCTGCACCTCTAACTACATCTCTCACTGCATCTCTCACTGCTCCTGCACCTCTCACTGAATCTCTCACTGCTCCTGCACCTCTCACTGCATCTCTAACTGGGACTGCACCTCTCACTGCATCTCTCACTGCTCCTGCACCTCTCACTGAATCTCTCACTGCTCCTGCACCTCTCACTGCATCTCTAACTGGGACTGCACCTCTCACTGCATCTCTCACTGCTCCTGCAACTCTCACTGAATCTCTCCCTGCTCCTGCACCTCTCACTGGGCTTGCACATCTTACTGCATCTCTCATTGCTAGTGCACGTCTCACTACATCTCTTGCTGCTCCCGCACCTCTCACTGCATCTTTCAATGCTCCTACACCTCTCACTGCTCCTGCACCTCTCACTGCATCTCTCATTGCTCCTGCACCTCTCACTGCATCTTTCACTGCTCCTGCACCTCTCACTGCATCTCTCATTGCTCCTGGACCTCTCACTACATCTCTCGCTACCCCTGCACCTCTCACTGCATCTCTCACTGCATTTCTCACTGTGCCTGCACCTCTCACTGCATCTCTCACTGGGCCTGCACCTCTCACTGCATCTCTCACTGGGCCTGCCCCTCTCACTGCATTACTCTCTGGGCCTGCTCTTCTCACTTCTCCCAATGTTAAAAAAAATCCCCTGCCATTGAGTCTAAAGCCCTATTCACACAGGATTAGTGTTATCTGAGGACCTCGTGTGTGAATTTGAAATTACCCAACCACATCTGAATTTCGTGTGGTGCATTCGCACGGGATAAGCGAAGTCTGTGATTTTACTCGAATTAACTGACTTATCTCCTGGATATGATGCCATTAGGCAATTGGTTGGAAACCTCTTGTCGTTATGTCTAGCTGTATGATATATCATAAAAAGATGAATTGTCCTTACCATTCATCTCTATTTAATCATTCTTTTTGTTTTTGCTCTTCTGATGGTTTTCAGTTTTCTATTTCTACAAATTGTATAGTTGTATGCTGACCTGTGACGTGGAGTCTGTCTACGTTGACCTCGATCTTGAGGAAGATTCTTCCTCTGCGCTCGGTGTGGTCGGTCCCGCACAGACTTGGCACGTTCATCACACACTGCTTGTGAACGTTCATGTCACAGGCTGAGAACAAGAGAGAAAAACATTGGTAAACGCTTCAGGATTAAACATAGTAAAGTGTATGCAGGGCTTGATTGCTTCAACCCATGGACCAAAAAACCACCCGTGGCAACAGATTTGGCAAGACTGCTGTACATTGACCACAAACCAGAGCCATTGGAGATAGGCTGCCACACACAAAAAAGAGCTTTTTCAAGGTAATATTTGTATGAATGTGGGCATATAAGCATTCCTAGCATCCTTGCATGATTCACAGCCACTTTCCATTTGTAGCATAAAAGCTCTAGACCTCCAACCTGATTCAAAGCTGTTAAGGCCAATTCACACCACACAGACAAACGCTAACAAATTCCAACAAATAAGGTTGGGTGGAAATCAAAAATCGAGTCCTACTTGTTATAAAATAAAACGTTTGATTCCTCTTATCCATTCCTTTGTGTTTAAATTAAATTAAATCAAATTCAATTAAACCAGTCAAGCGTGAGGCGACTGCAGGTGGGTGTATCAGTATACTGGACCTCTTAAAGTGACAGCACCGATATTCCTGCTGCGTCTCTATAATACCACTGATCACACAACAAAACACAGAGAAAATTCACTCGTTCTTGACTGAATAACTTCTGTTACTATATTTGTAATTTATAATTCTTTTCTAGTGCAGCGTTATTTTACAATTGATTACAGTTTCTGTGCCAGACAATCTTAAAACACTGCTTCTTCTTCTTCTTCTTGCTCCTTACATCGTCATATTATATTAGCGAGCGCATCATCTGCTCCTCAGATTTCTCTGCCGAAAAGGAAGCTTGTCGGCAGCGCGAGGAGTTTGGCAGCGAACGCAGCGTCTCGTTCCCTATTCAGAGAACATGGGTTACACTAGTAACCAGAGATGTTCTCTTTCATAGGTTTACTCAAGGCTGTGTAGCTAAGATGCAGTGGGTACGAAATGCCAAACTCGCCAAGCTAAGCGCTGCGTAACTAGTGCGATGACCAGATAACTTACGTGACTGGTTCAAGCAGACAAAACATGGGAACTTGTAGCCATGTCGATATTAGATTTCCTTGATAGTAATCTCTATTAATCTCCAGTATTAATACATTGTTTGATATGATATTATGTTTATTTGATATTATGTAAATTCAAATTTTTATTGTATATTGGTTTATTTATTATTACCATTTGTTGTTCGAACTCGTTCATCAAAATGAAGGAATCTTTTTCCGAGTGAATTCGTTTGTTTCGTTCGTTGAATGAACCAAACGACTCGGAAAAAAGAGTTCGAACAGGAGAGTCACAAACGTGCGTCACAGAACAGAGCAAGGCGAGCATTATTATTTATTTATTAAATGGCGATAGTTTTGCTCAACAAGACCCTTATTCATCGTCTGGAATCGTTTGAACAGTTTGTAGTTTGGACAGAAACTGTCTTTTGGACATTGAACCGTTTGGTTCCCATTGAAGTCCGTTATATGGAGAAAATGCTAAAACCTTAATTTCTTTATGACTGAAGAAAGAAAGACATGGACATCTTGGATGACATGGGGGTGAGTAAATTATCAGCAAAAGTTTTTTTAAATGAACTACTACTTTAATGTAATCAAAATTGGGAATCAAGAAGAATCGGAATCGATAAGCAGAATCGAAATCGAAATGATACCCAACCATTGTTTGCTGATGGCCGTTGGATTTAGATTTGGACAAATGCTGATATAACATGGTCAGCCAGGTGAATACAAACCCTGATCAATACCAACTGATCCGACAAAACGTGTTTGTAGATGTTTGTCCATGCGGTGGGAATTGGCCTTTACTGTCATGTTGTTGTTAACTTTGTTTTCCCTTTTTAATAATATCAACTGCTGAAACACCAACATAAGACATGAAAAGTGCATTTTGAAGGTGAACCCTGTCAAGTTCATGAGCACAGACAGCAAACCTTGTTTTGTTGGACCGTTTTGGCAGAGAAAGTGTATGTGACCCATGCTGAGGTTGTTGTTGATATGTGGAAATTGGCTGTGGTGTGTCGTCTCAGAGAGGTGTTGATGAGCACATCCCATATATGCTGCTACTCCCACATAAATCTCCCTTAAATTTGTTCTTAATAAAATCTGTGAGAGGAACAGGAATGTTCAGGGGGTGTCTCTAGATCTACAGATCGAACCACATTTGACCTCATAATGGAGAAGAACAGCAGAAACAGATGTATTGTGTAGGCCTGAGGCAGGAGCTACCCTTTCACACGGATCTGAGGCCACTTCTTCTTTTATTTCCTTACAGGCTTCATCTAGATTTGGTTAGGAGAAGATGGTCTTGCATGAGGGCATGAAGGGAGGTCGATACTCACTGTCGCATTTCATGCCCTGGTGAATGAGGCCGTACAGCAGCGATCCGCAGTGGTCACAGAACGTGGGACTGCCGTAGGTGTGGATCTTAAACTTGTGCTTGCTTCTGGGATCCTGCGGAAACATGGAAAAGAGAGGAGTCGTTTACAACTGGACTAACAAAATCGACCATGAACCATCTGATGCAAACTGTGTGCTGTTATAGTGTGCTTCCTGCAGGGATGACATGCTTTTAAGTTTTTTTTTTTAATTTTGTTTGGTCTGTGGCCTGCATTGGCCTGCATTTTATTCTATGACATCAGAGATATTTTAAAGCTTGTCTTTAAAAAGGTTGTTGCTTATAAGTGACTAAAAGGGACATAAAAAGTCATCACAGCGAACAAGTAATCCAGTCGACTCAACAGTCGACTTTAAAGCCTGACTGTGTTTATAATTCAAGCTCTTGCGGCAGTGGCTCAGTGGTTCATGTGGGTTGTCTACGAACCGAAAGGTTGGTGGTTCAATCCCCGGTTCCACCTGACCAAGTGTCGAGGTGTCCATGAGCAAGACCTAACCCCAGCTGCTCCCGACGAGCTGGATGGCTGACACCGCCGTGGGTGTATGAATGTGTGTATGAATGGGTGAATGTGAGGCTAAGGTAAAGCGCTTTGGTGGCCATTAGGTCTATGAAGGTGTTATATAAATGCAGTCCATTTACCATTTGATCGGTGTTACGTAATTACGTAACTCGGAGCCCCTCTTTGAGGGCACTTTTCAGGAATGGGCGAAGGCAAATCACGCGCCTAGTACGCTCTACTATCCATCTGTTAATTGTTTGTTTAGAGGACACCCAAAACACACAAGCAACTGGTCGGTCTTCCTCCAAACCGACGACTTATGTATGTAGGCCTCCAGAGCTCGGACCGAGCATAATTGATGTAGCTCAGCTTGACACATGCGGTGGAGGATGAAATGCCTGAAAGATTACAGACTATGCCACATTTGCAGGCACCTTAGGCACATAGCCAGGTCTAGGGTTGAGAATGGCTCTCACTCTGCCAGGAGCGAACTCGAGGCAAGAGGGGGGTCCCCCACTCTCTTGAGGGACGTAATAGCTAGCGGGAAGGTTCGCCCAAAGGTTCGAAGGTTTGCCAGGGATAACCCTTCAAGAACCACTGCCAGGTCCCACGTGGGGAACCTAGTCTGGACGACAGGCCTCATACTCCTGTCTCCATGTAGGAAATGTACTATAAGTGGGTGTCTTCCCAAAGAGCCCACCCTAGAGGCATGTGGAAGGCAACTATGGCCGCCACAGAAGCCCCTTTTCCACCAAAGCATTTTGAGAGCCGGTTCGGAGCCGGTGCCTGCGCGCGAACCAGGAGCGGCACCAACTCTTTGCTGGACTAGAACCGTTCTTTTACCATGTCATGCTTACGTCGGGGGCTGCGGCGGGTTTAGATGTGCTCTAAACATCTTTTCTGACCATAATAAAGGATCGCAAAGCCAGGAGAAACATTTGCAGAAACACGATGGAGTCCGCCTTTGTAATTGTTATGCTTGAAGTTGGCGCAAGCGTTTCTATTTTTTTTTTATTGAAAACATTATAAGCAAAGAAGAAAACAGTCACAATATAGAACAAATACAGTAAATGGAAAGAAAAAAGACACAAGACAGGGGTACATAACTAATCAGAAAAGATTAAAAGACTATTGTTTTTAAAGCCTTCTTGGTACAAGAGTTACAGATAATCCCAAAGTAATGTTGTACTGTACTTGCAAGCGTTTCTAGCTAAGACATATGGCGACGTACACAGTGACGTAACGACGTCGTTCCCTGGGTGCTCTAGTCAGTGGAAAAACTAACACAGTCTCATCCCAAAAAGTCATATAACTGACGTTTTGGGACGTATTTTGACCATACGTCAATATCCGCCTTTTTAGGGCCCCCTTAAACGTCGGTAGATGGCGATCCCGGGCCGTCATACAACTGACGCTTTACCTTTAACGTCAGTTAGGTGACGGGTTAGGTTTAGGGTTAGGTTTAGGTATGGGGTAGAGTTAGGATCCCATAACCTCATCTACCGACGTTTAAGGGGGCCCTAAAAAGGCGAATATTGACGTATGGTCAAAAGACGTCCCAAAACGTCAGTTATATGACGTCTTGGGATGAGACCGGGTTGGAAAAACAGGTTCTGAACGGGTTCTGAACCAGCACCAGTTCGGAACCAGGTCTTTTTTGGTGGAATAGACCTTCAGCGTGGACGGGGAGAGCCCGTCAGAGATGAGATTCTGCAGGAACTCCAGCACTGAAGCCACTGGGCAGTTAACTGGGTCCAACTGATGTCCTCTGCACCATAAAGTAAATACATTCCATTTTAATTACAGTTTCCTCGTGGAGGGGGCTCTAGAGGTTAGGATGGTCTCAACAACCTCGGTTGAGAGACCAGCACTCATGAGTAGGTCCCGCTCAGGGCCCAGACCCACAGCTTCCTGAGAAAGAAGGTCCCTCCTGATCGGGACTTGCCACTGGTGAGCTACGATGTCTGAAAACCATACTCGGGCCGACCAGTACGGGGCTCCTAGGAGCAAACTGATCCCGTGCCGCCGGACCCCCTCTAGAACTCCTGGGAGCAGAGCGATCGGGGGAAATGCGTACAGGCGTGCACCATGTGTGAGGGAAAACCAGAGCGGACAGTGTTTGTTCTCGTGAGATGTGAGGATGTCTGTCCCCACATTTTTGCCCCCATGGATAAACATTGCTCTATTTGAGAGTAGTTTGTCCTGGAACCACAGAAGAACCTGATGTGCCAGTTTTTTGCATAGAGGGCACGATCTCAAGCCCCCCAGCCGATTTATATATGAGACCACCAACGTATTGTGTGTTCGCACTAGAACATGATGGTGAACCTGGTGGTAGGCGGTTGCTTTTTTCACTAATTGTATCACCTGCTAGGTTAAAATCATTAGTATTAGAAAAAACAATAGTGATGCTTGGCTTAGCAAACATCAGTAATAGTCCAAATTTTCCATATGCATCATTGAAATTGAGAGAAGAATCCCAAGGTGACCGTCAAATGGAAACCAAAAAAAGCAAAAACAGTTACCTAACAGATGCTGACCGCAACACTCTGCTGCTGTTTCCGTCCAGAAGCAGAAAGTTAATCATACGTCTGCAGGGGTTATTTCACTGGGCCATGCAAAATAGGGCAACCAATTAATTTGTCTCTGAGTGGTCTGAAATTAATGAGAATTTGACTGAAGTTGAGGGGTCTTGACTTTTACCATAAGTGAACCATTAATCTGACATTAATAAAGACCTGTCATACTGAACGGAAACGCTGAGTCAAATATGACTGTTAGGAAGAGTTTTTATATCTTAATTACTTCTATAACAGGAACTAGATCCTTCAACTACTCAGTGTAAAAACTAGTAGCAAATAAATGTAAAAATGAAAAATGCTATGGTTCAGGCTTTCCTTTGACTCTTGAAAGCTTTTTTCACAAATCAGCCATGGTGAAAAACAGTTGTTGTTGTTTTTTTTAAATCTTTTTTCATTTTTTAAACGAGGCTCCAGTCTGATTGACTGAGGTTTATATCAGTCTATTGGGGAACAATGTATTTCTATTGGGGAATAGAGCATTTCTGAGGAGAACTATAAAGTTCCTGGCATTCATATTCAAAGGCATTGAATATCTGAACTATATTTCACAGTTTACATTGAGTTTTTAATGTGCCTTGGGATAAACGGGAAATAGTCCAACAGTGTCCTGCTTTGTTTTCAGAGTTCAAGAATTATTACCCATGAACAGACAAGTGCACAAATTATTGTACGGACTGCTGCACTATTATTTATAGTCTTACACAATTAGTAGTTGTCATCTCTTTTATTTCTGGGATTTGTGATTTCAAGATTTACCGTGCTTCCAATTATGTATAATTTTGGCATAATCACAAACAACCAAACCCCAAAGCTGTTAATTAATCTTATTCAGTACTTATTTATGTAATTACACGGTCACCTCAATATAAAGTGTAACCATGATCACTGCTGGGTTTGCTCATATTAAACAGCTTGTTGAGTGTTATATCAGTTGAATAGTCTCTATATAAGAATAGGCTTAAAGGCTTAGTTCACTTCAGAAGAAAGATTTCCTGATAATTTATAATTAATTAAGCATTCTTCCATACCATACATATAGGAACACCTCAAATTATCTCAGAACCGCATAAAATCACCAACACATGAACCTCAGGAGCTGGTCTAAGCATGTGGTTTGATTAATTCCCATTTTAAGTCCACGTGCAATGCAAACTTGTTCACTAGCAGATGGTTCATTTTGAAATTGGTTAGCACATTTAAAGTGTACAATGTCAAACACACTAGAGTGAATGGTGTGTGTGGTAATTAACAGTGCAGGTATTGCTGTTTCAGGTTCAGATCCACCTTGTGTAGTGTGTTATTTCCTCCAGACAGCTTTTGTCAACCTGTCTAAGCTCTAATTGAAAAGGCCAGAGAGCAAAGCAAAGCAGATGCAGTCTGTGTGTCGGCCTGCTGGCCAATGGAGGAGCGTGTGATGAAAACAAACACTGGACGGACCCCGAGAACCCGTGATTGGCACAGAATGAGTCACTGAAGCTCTCTAATTACTACCTTGGCATTTTAAATAGCAATTTGGCTATTTCATTCTCTGTTTCTGGCTCGTCTCGAGCTGCTGCGACAGAATTCTGGCCCCCTATTAACTATCGATGGCCGCATCCCAATTTCCATACTTCTTGAATGCACTAAACATATTTACTTTGCTTGTAATGGGAAAGGACATTTGAGCAGATGGTACATCAATACACTGGAATTGTGATACTACTTTAAATTCGTCTTCGCCGGTGTTAGCATCAAGCATTTGCATTCCTTTACCAGGTTAAAAGCCAGCCATTATTATTATTTCACTTTTAGGCGCAAACGTTTCAACAAAAACAGCATTTGGATTGGTTGATTATGATTATGATTTCACTTTTTTTTAGCTTTAGTTAGTGTGTAATGTTGCTGTTTGGGCATAAAAAACATCTGCAAAGTTACAACGCTCAAAGATCAATTTGCTTTTACAGAAATGGCTTTTGGACTACAACAAACGGCTGGT